ATCCGTTTTAAATGGATAATTGAAACGGAATGCAAGAAAACAAACTTATAAGTATGAAAGTTTATTGGGAGACACGTTTGTTACGTTTTCTTCTGTAATTCCAGACTTAGGCGATCTTAAACCAACCAAATGCCAGCTTCGTTAACGAGAATATAGTTCTGATCATATAAAGAAACAAAATAAGCAAGAATTAGTAATAATAAGCTAAAATAAACACGGATATCCATGAAATGGGAAGAAGAAGCATTGAGAAGTAGGAGATATTCGATCCAAATAATGTTGCAAGGCTAGCTCTTTGTAGCTGTTTCTAAGCAGGTGCATCTATAGCAGTATGGTAGAGTGCAGTTTTTCAGCTAGTACAATTGACCCAATCAGCTCAGAGTGAAGAAAATGACAAGCCTCTTGATGTCCTTAACGGCACTATAAATATGGCAGCAAAAAGTCAAATGGAAAATACTGGGCAGCGGCATCACCCACCTTTATGCTGAAAAAACTATGACCTATCGCATAATTCTACTCAAATGTATTGGTATTTATTGAATTGTATTCTCGTTTCACGTGATGACTAGGCATTGCTTTGAGTCTACTTTGCACAGCATGCACCATTGAGGTTTAAAAATTTCAATTGCATTTTTATCCGCCACCCGAAAGGAGAAGTGGTCATGGAAAATGAACGAATGAATCTTTAACACGGAAATAAGGACATTTACAACGCCTTTACTATATTTTCATCTTCCGTCGCTGCTTCTCCGTTCGAGTCGCGGAAGCAGACGGGTCAGACAGAGGTTCCAACCTTCCTGATCCTCTACCAGAGTCTGAACATCGGCAAAAGACAAATGGAGTCTGGAACAGACTCCTTCCATATGTTTCCACAAGGATAACCTTGGCCGTCCGCTTAGCCTTCCTTTCTGGAGGCATTCGCAACACATGCCCAAGCCATCGCAGCTGCTACTTCTCAATCTGGAGAAGCAAAGACTGTATTCCAAGGCTCTTCCAGATGTCACTATTCCTGACCATGTCGAGACGCGTAAGGCCAAAGACTCGTCTAAGAAAGACCATTTCAGCAGCTTGTACCCGGGTTCGAAGTTTTTCAGTGATGCTCCACGATTCATGACCGTAGGTAAGTATGGGGATAAAGACCGACTTGAATATTGAGAGCTTAGC